TTGAGTGGAATTATGCAAACTTTATCGGAGTTAGACTGTATTTGAGCAATATCGCCACAAATAATATCTGAATGTTGAATATTTTTCTTAATATCAATATAGCCACCATAATCGGTTAAACAATTTTCATCATTCATTTTGGGATCATATAGTTTCATTGTTTTAATTTCAATTGTACTTTGTTCAATATTATAATAGATTTCTTCTAAACAATTTTTAATATTTTCATACGGACCACGTAATACTAATACTCGTTCATCTGATTCTGGACAACATTCAGAAAATACTTGAATTGTTTCAAGTTTATAACGTTTCTGAAGAGTTTTTGACGTTTGACCTAATTTTCCAATTACCTAATGACGAAAAAAATGAATCGAGTTTTCATCAAAACTTGGATAGCACGTATAGTCACCAAAATATTGTGTACAGGGTGCGCCAGTGGAAATGAGCCCATTAGTATTTTTCATTTTTCTCGTGTTCCTTTAAGATCTTAAGGTTAATGTTTTTTCTAAAAGATGCGCCGCAAAATATTCTACAAAATTATACCTAAACTTTAATTTCAGAGCTTCAATCAAGAAAACTAAGCAATTTATACGAAAGACGAAAAAAATGAAAACTTTCTGAAATCAAAAATGATTTCTTGTGTTAACGTTTTGAAAGTGAGAAAAACTGAATTAACCATTTTGTAGCCCTGACTTCGCTCTATCGTTTAGCTACACTTCAAATTCGTTCACATGAAAACCCATGGCAAGATAATAATTTTTCTGTCAGTTGCATTTTTCATTAATTTTTTACATTCTGCTTATGGTAGCGCTCTCAGCAAAAGTTCCATAACTCCATCAAAACACAAGATTTTTTGGTCGGATTTGTTTTGTTTTTATCAGAGATGATCGCTCTTCTCTACCTAACTATAAAATCAAAACTTGAATCACGTTTTCCGTGTGTTGCTTGAACACATTGCTGGAAACGACAGGTTGTCAATTTTTAACGTATTTTCAAACTTCATTCTCGAGCACACCCCCTGCTCTAAAAACACTTTTTTACAGATCACAAGAAAGAGCATATTCAAAAGTACAAAAAGAACTGAGTTCTCACTTTTGCTACACTTTTTTACGGAAATAATAGCAGAAGAAAATGTTCAAATGGGAAAAAAATACCAAACTTAGGAATTTTTTATTTTTTCGTATAATTTGTTTAGTTTTCTTGATTGAAGTTCTGAAATTAAAGTTTAGATATGATTTTGTAGAGTATTTCGCGGCGCATCTTCTAGAAAAAACATTCATCTTAAGATCTTAAAAGAACACAAGAAAAATAAAAAAACACTAAAGGGTTCATTTCCTCTGACCTACCCGTTAGAACTTTCTTACTTTGTCATCATAAGAATATATTGACCTATCATTTGTAACATATATTTATATATTTTTAGACTTATACGATGAAATGAAAGCCATTTCTTCTTCGGATGAAATTTGTCTCGTTGCACAAATTTATGCTTATATAATTAAAGCGTGTAAAAATTTGAATGCTGAAGAACGTGGTCGACTACTTCATCAAGAAATACTTTATTATAAATTAAATACCGATCATTATTTGGCTACACTACTTATTGATATGTATTCAAAATTTCATGATTTAAAAGCATGTGAAGTAGTATTTCAAGCCATTAATCTAAAACTTCATAATTTATATACGTATTCAACAATGATGAAAGCTTATACACACAATGATATGCCAGAAAAAACATTGGAAATATATAAACAGATTAAAAGAGGTAAAATGTGAAATATTGAAGAAAATTATAACAAAAAAAAACAATAATTTGTCTTTATATTTTAGATAATCTATTTCAATGAGATGAAGTTGGATATTTATGTGTATTGAATGCCTATGCAAAAATTGGTATGTTAAAATTGGCTAATCAAATTTATTGTGAATTACCCGAATCGCTTTTACGAGCACCGTACATTTAAAATACACTTATCGATCTTTTTGGAAAATGTGGGGATTTTAGAATAGCCAGACAAATATTTGATAATCTGAATAAACGACAGAGTAGAAAAGTGTACAATACAATGATCAATGTATACGGTATAAATGGACGTGGACAAGATGCATTAAAAATGTTTCACCAAATGAAATTGAATGATGTTAAATTAGATTTTTATACGTATATTTAGATATTAAGAGCATGCCAATTTTCAAAATTAATACAAGAAGCAAAACAAATATTTCAATCGATGAATAAACAATATCAAAGTACAGAAATACATGTAATTATGGTATGACAAAATAATAAATTAGTTTTATATGAATTATGATGTACACTTCTTTTATCTTCTAGATTGATATATATTCTCAGTGGAGAATATGATAAATGTGAATTATTAATTCAAGAATTTGAACAAGTATTTAATCATCCATTATTAAAACTACGGTATATTCTATTTGCATCTATCAATACTAACTCATCATTAAGCGAAGAACAACGTAAAAATAAATTACAAAATATTTTAGATAGAAATCCTCGTTCAAATGTTCAAAATCCCAATAGAATTATACCGAAATACCTACAAACACTCTTCACGTCGGAGATACCGGTCCCAATTCTAATGGATATCTCTGTCTAACAAATGACAGAAATTTCAAAAATTTCCCAGTAATTACGAAAAATTGTTCTATATGACCGCAACTCCTATAAATTCTTCCATTGTCGGAGATACGGGTGCCAATTCTAATGGATATCTCTGTCTAATAAATAAAAGATATTTCAGTAATTTCTCAGTAATTACCAAAACTTCCTCCAAACGACCGAAATTTCCATAAATTCTACTATTGTCGGAGATAGGAGTGCCAATTCTAATGGATATCTCTGTCTAATAAATGACAGAAATTTCAGAAATTTCCCAGTAATTACGACAAAATGCTCGAAATGACAGAAATTTCTATACATTCTCCTATTATCGGACATACGGGTCTGTCAGATAGCTAGTCACATGTCATACACGATACAAGTCACGTTATCTTTTATTTCTTTTATTTTATCTCTTATTTTCTTTTATGTATAAACGTGACATAGTCTA